CGCTGTTTATGCCTGCTACCTCTTGCAACATATCTGCAACAATATGAGCTCATCCTCGCCGCATCCTGGGCTCATAAGCCTCTTAGAACATGTTAGGAACGACATGATCATTGAATTTCGTGAAAAGGTAACCGTCAACGCGTTTCGAGAAGCATAGAAGCTCACCCGAACTCGGCAGTATATATCCTCGCACCTTCTAAAGTCGTGTCCCGATGCGTATACCATTGCGAGAGCGCATTAATGGGAAGATTTCGACAGGTTTTCCGCCTTTATCGCGAAAAAATACCAAGCCACGTCCCCTGTGAAGCCCATTTCTACCCGAAAACGCATTCAAAGCCCTTCAGTAGACTCTTCAAGTGAGCTACCGGAATTCTCAAGCCCCTTGACATCCCGCCAATGGCCAAAAAGGAGCCGGACAGCCACCATGACACGGTTGACCCCTGTCAACGATGATGATACTCGAATGCAGGCTAGTGGCACGTTAAATATATCTCAACAGGGCATTTACAGATCTGAAAACAGCGAGTTTTATAGTTATTTCCTTCGAAAGTATTCTCACAATTTTTCTCTCTGTTTTAGGTCATTGCGACGTGTCCGAAGGCTCTATTTATTTCCCATCCATCCCTGTATCCTCCTCAACTGCTGTTAGTAGCAATCAATTTCATCAAGAAAGCAGTTCTGACGCGTGAAGGATGTGATCTCAAAGCTCCATCAAACGGAATCCTTAACGCTGGCCAAGAAGTGTTGCTCTTACTCAACCACAACCATGCAGGACCTTCGAACAATTGTGCTGCTCTCAGATTTGAGCACTTTGATCCTGATCTTGAGCCGCCCTCACATCCTCTTCCCATGGAGCTGACTGACCTATTTCCTTCTTCTACGGCACTGCCAACTTTTCACTATGGTTTCAACTTTGATATGTAAACACATTTGTACACTTAATTATATTACATGCAAAATATTATTTTAATTTAATTCAACTATTTTCAACACCGTACAGAGAAAAATGTTAGAGTGGGTCAGCATCATAAATTAAGTTTAGACAGAAATGCCGGGATCATAAGTTAAGTTGCCGGCTTGCACTGGCTCGGACAAACTGGCGCACTTGCACACGCGTGCTGGGACCACCCGACTTGCACACCTTTCGTTACCCCTCATTTCGAAGGGTCCTCGGAAGGCATGCTTAATCCACCCAGTACTATCTAGACGAAATTCTTACGATGAATATTTGGTGGCTTTGGCTTGAATTTAGGTGATTAGCAGTACCAGCATTCGTGCTCAATTCCCCGAGGGCTGTGGACGGTGGAGCTACTATTTTCCCAATCTCCAATTTATCCATATTCTATCACGAAAGCGTTGCATTGAGGCCAACTAGTTCTCTCGGGGCATCAATCTATGAAAGGTGGGATATTCATGCCAGGAAGCCCCATTGCAGATATGCACGAACGCTACCGATGATACGACGGAAATAATCAAGTTTCTGCTCACGATCTGATGTGTCCAACGCTCTGGTCTCATTGACTCCCACACAACAGCCCGTTGCCTGATTCATTTCTCGCGCTCTTCAAATATCTTTCAAATCGATCATACGAATCGATTGACATGTGTGTGATTTACTTTTCATGGTAAAGGATGCGGTATATAAATCACGCTACGCTACTAGTTTCTTATTCCTCTCATAATGCGATCCTTACTCTTTATTTTCTCTTTCTTCATTTTCGTATTTTCCGTGATACAGGCTGCGCCTGTTCCCGTTTACGCATTTTCTAGTCTCTCCTTATCGAACCCAGAGAACCATGAACCTACTCGGAGGATACTACCCGAAGAGCCTGAAGAAGGCGCGGTGGGACCGCAGGTAGAGGAGTCGCTACCGCCTCAGGAAAAGTTGCCTCCACCCCTACCACATTCACCTCTACCACGGCCGTTTCAGGAGGCGCCGCCATCGCAACCCAAAAAGCCTAAGAAAGGCCCGGTGGTATCACAGGTAGAGGAGTCGCCGTCGCCTCAGGAAAAGTTGTCTCCACCCCCACCCTATCGGCCGCTGTCTCCGCCTCCTCCTCCTCCACAGCCATTTCAGGAGGCACCACCATGGCAACCCTCGCGAAAGCTGCCTCCACATGGGGGGCAATCGCTGCCACCAATGCCGCCCGCTGGGCCAGGTCCGATTGGATTAATTAACAGTCCAGTTACTGCAAATCTGGCAGTAGTTCCCACTCCAACATACGCATCTCCGCTCTCGGGCGTTAATGAAGAACTTGACGAGGTACCAAATTCCAAGGCAACTGGAGCCACCGATGGGGGAAATAATAAGGCGCCTTCCCCTATTATTTTGCATCTCCTCATTGCAATTTTGGTTGCGGTCGTGTTCTTTGGAAGTGCTACACTTCTTTTGATTTATTGGCAGTTCCGCCATCGCTCCAAGGTAGCGCCAAGACCAACCAGTAAATATAAACAAATCGATGACCCTACCTCGATCCCTGTCATGGAAACCGCCCCAAGAGAACAGCAGTTTTGGCTATCCCATGAACCCAGTTAGACCATTCCGAAATCCTTGAATTTTTTCATTTGTATCTTACGTTAGTTTATTTTGTATTTAATGGGAACTTTAGAAATGTCATATGTGAGGGCACTACTGGTATGGTTTTGGAACAATTGAGATGAGTATGATAATCGCATGAGGAGCTATTAGTTTCTTCCGATATGATCGGAAAGGATCCCGGTAGGTCGAAAACCCTTCTTTTAAACAGCGATTCCCGGTAGCCCATGGGAGGGCAATAATGTGACCCCATACTATATTCTTTTACGCTATATCCCGGAAATAATTTAGAAAAGACTGACAGAAGGATGCTCGCTAGCAAAGTATAAGAGAACATTCTTAGAAAATTTAGAAAATTGAACCTGATTTCTAACGGCATAATCAATCGTGCATTTTCCGAGTCATCAGGAAAGTTGGCACGGGCGGCCAATTGGCTAGCTAGCTGCGCCCACTTGTATATAGTCCTAGCTGGATAGGGCGATATGCCTCACTAAAAATCGCTATACGCACTAGGCCGAGAAATTGGGACGGCAATCTCGTTCGAACAAGTCAAACAAGTCACGTGTGCTCCATCAGCGTGTCGTGTCTTCTTTGAACCACCTTGTCCCTCACTGACACTATTACTGCCTCGATTCTGATTAATATTTGGAGGTCTTATTTGACCAAGGAAAGCCGATTGAAGCTCTCCTTATGTTGTCGATATCTGCGAACCGCCATTCTTCCGTTGGTATTTTCCCGTGTCACATTTTATGGAGATAGACGAAACCTCGAGACCGTATCTCCCCTTCAACAAACTATCATTCAACTCCATTACTCCCAGTGTCGCCTTCGTTCTTTCTTAAATCACCCGCATCTCCTTCAATATATCAAATCGGTCGACATAAAAGAACGGATGGGATTGGACGTTCTATAATGGAAGTGACAGGCTTTTCAAGCGAGGCAAGAAGCGATTATTCTCGGTATGGAAGGAGGCATCCGAAGATATGAAGAACTTCATTCTGAACACCCCTTCTCTGTCGATGTTAAGCTTCATCGAGGTGCATTCGGAAAGTGGAACAGGAGACCCTTTAGATTCACCCACTTGCATACTCCAATCTAACACTATCGTGCTGAAGTTCGATGTCAAAGACACCGCTGGCGAAAGAGCATCTCTCTTTTCGTTCCATCGTCACCTCAAAAGTGGCGAGAATATCTCTCATACAAATTTGGTTCACGAATATTTTGCTGCTCTAATCCACGGAAACAATTTGCCCATCATAGGAGCAGTCTTACCGAACACCTTTACCATGGCTCAGCTATTGAAGGATGGTGTTCATCGCTTCCGACAATTACAATATCTCCGTATCACAATTACTTCAAGTGATAGGCAAGAGAGGCTCTTGTTTCGATCGTTGATAGCGTCTTGCGAAAGGCTACGCGCCTTGGAAATTTGAGACATGGGTATCAATCATATTCCTCAAAGGTGTTGTCGGTCTCTCAAGGCACCCTATCTGCCTTGGAGATGTACGGCGGTATTGGCCCTAACATACCAAAATTCCCTGAAGATTGCGCTATTTCTACTCTTCGTGTTTCTTGGTCTAGGCCCCGTGGAGGGGGGCCGAGTGATAGCCCGGATCTAAGGTCCATGTTTCTCCCGCTTTCACACCGTCTAGTCAGGCTTGATATCAGCCCCCTCGTATTCTCAGAGGAGCTAATCCTCGAAGTTTCTGAAGTATGTCCGAGGATTCAAGAACTTACTTTAGGGTTTCCGGAACAGCTGGTCACGCGTGATCCTTGGGTAAGTCCATCGTCTGAAATCTCTGGAATTCGGAATTAATCCCAACTATTATCAGATACTGTTAATGCACTACATTCTTGCGGCGGCGCCTTTCAGAAACCTTAAAGTCCTCAAAGGATGGTACTATGAAGATATGACGCCAAACCCTTCGCTGGCTTGTCCCGTTCAAGACATGCCCGTGCTAGGGGCCGTACATCCGTCGCTCAAAGAGTTCCATCTCCTTAGGTTTGGGCGATTCGAATGGTTATATACTATAGGATGGAGATTCTTTTCTGAAAAAGCATCTTCCCGACATCCCAAGGAAGTCCCCTCGATTGAAGAAGCCATAAAGGATACGCTGATGCGCGTTTATTTGGAGTCTCTGCCGTTGGGATTTGTGAAGAAACTATATTTTAGTGTTTTTGGTGGAGGGAAACTGAAAGGGAAGGCTATCAAAGCGTTTGAATATCCTCTATGATGCTTGGTTTCGATCCCCTGTATGATACTTACGACTAGCTTTGCAACGATGTACAGGACAATTGCCTATCATGGCGTCTTTAAAATTCTGAACTAATTAGTTCAAGATATGTGGGGAATGAACAGGCTCGATGAAGGAGCTCGAAAAAATAGTTCTCTTAATTTATTAATTTGCTTTCTTCTGCTCTGCTCCGGTATGTTATCAGGGTAGATGACTGTGTTACTTGTGAAGCTTTGCTAGCTTAATCGGTAGAGCGTGAGAATTTTACACCCGAAGCAAGTTTGTCGAAATATAATTTCAAGGTTGCGGGCTCGATCCTCGCGTGAGACTAGTACTTTTTGAGAGGTTTCGGTTCCCTCGACGATGGCATGCAATTTACTTAAATGAATTATTGTCTTTTTAATTAAGGCTTACTGTCAATATCAAGATACAAACGTAAGTAAGATCTATCCGTATTCGGTAACCGGTGTATTTCAGTCTCAATTACTTTTGACCGTGCTGATTAAATGAATTGAACGGAAATAACTCTATAAGTGTTACAATATTTTACATGAACATCGAGGCTAATATTAGTTCATTATTGTTTTCCTTCCTTTAACTTATCAACGTCCTTCCTATGCTTGAGAAAAGTGGCAAGCGGCATATGACGACTCGTAGTTGCGGTCGTAATAAGGGCATCATAGAATTCTCCAGGTAAATCCGTCTTGGGAGCATGATCAAGCAGCAAACGCACGATGGCTTGGTGCCCATAAGCACATGCGGCCACCAACGCATTGCCATAAAACCCGCCTTCCAGATTCGCGCCAACACCGTTCTCCAAAAAGACCTTGACAGATTTTCCATGACTGCTTAGCAACGCGGGATAGAGGGGATGACCGTATATCCCGCCGTTTGCTGGAGAAGCTACTGCACCCGCTTTTAATAACATTCTGACAATCTCCACATGATTTCGAGAAGCAGCAGCTTGAAGCGGTGTTCCCCAATATCCCACTTGCTTATTGATATCTGCCCCCTGTTCGATCAAGACGGCAACCACGTTTTGGTGTCCTAATATGGATGCCGCATATAAGGGATTATGATAAGAAGACACCTCTGCATCTATCTCAGCTCCATGCTCAAGTAATATCCTGACAATGTTATGATGACCTCGGATGCTTGCTGCCTGTAACGCATTTCCGTGCCATCCACCGGGTTTATTGACAGGGACATTCTTTTGCAGCAGGAATCTAACGATATCTTCGTGACCCTCTCCGGAAGCAGCCTGTAAGGATTGACCTAACTCCTTTGCGCCTTTCTCGAGAAGTAATTCCAGAAGTTTAAGTTGTCCCTGCCATGCAGCAATTTCAATCGCGTTATCGAACGCCCCTTGTCCTTCAGCTTGCGCATCGATAATATCAGGAGAGTTTGAGAGTAGAAGATGGATAATTTCCCAGTTTTGCATGTAAGCAGCGGCCTTGAACGCATTTCCCCAATATCCTTTGGTCGCTTGTTCCATTTCCGCTCCTCGTTCAAGAAGCATTCGACTAACAGTCGAAGAAGGTCTCAACGATGCAGCTTGGAGGGCCGAACCATACTGTCCACCATAAATATTGACGTTTGCACCATGGTCTAGCAAGAATATGACAACATCATCGCTGGCAGAGTAGCAAGCTGCTTGTAAAGCCGTTTCGTAGAACCCACTCCGTGCATCAATTTCTACCTTATTTGTCTTGCAATTGAGCAAGAGTTCGAGAACGGCTATTTGTTCTACCTTCGATGGTTTTTTATATTTTGGATTGAACCTCGCAAACCATTCTCGATTGAATGGATCCATGGCGGCGGCTGCATTTTGTAGGGCTGTACCGAACCTCCCTTCAACGACATTTGAATCCGCGTTACGTTTAAGGAGTTCTGTGACCAATGATACATCGGCTTGTGCACATGCAACATTGAGAATTGTCCCAAATACCCGTCCTACGCCACCAATTGCGGCGCCATGATCCAAGAGATATCTGACAGTTTCCATATGACGTGCTTGTAGGGCCTGATATAAAGGTGTACCAATCAGCTTATCATAGCCATCTATATTTAACTGGTTCTCTAGCTGGTTCTCCATAAGGATACGAATGACAGAAGTATATCCATGCCGTGCAGCAACTTCCAGAGGAGTGCCATAAGTCTTGTTACAATGATTCTTGTCGGCTCCATGATCCAGAAGGATATTCACGATCGATACATGACCTCCTTCAACGGCTGCAGATAGAGCCTTATCCAGCCACCCAGCCGTCTTTGTAGTATTCTGTTCCAACGCCATTTGAACTAATTCTTTATGCCCATGACGCGCCGCCGCTTCAAAAGTGGATATCCGATCTTCAATGCTACAGCGCTCCAAAAGCACGTCGAGAATATCTTGGCGGCCTTCAACCTGTCGGCCAAGAGCGTCCAGCAAATGTCCAGAAGTCACTTTTGCACCTTTGTTAAGAAGTACGTGAACGACTTCTTTGTGACCTCCGCAAACGGCTGCCCTCAATGGCGTTCCGAGCGTATCAATTTCCTCGTGGAGCTGTGAAGTGTCTTGACGAAGTAGCTCTATAACAGTCCAGTATAGTCTGTGGTATGATGCGAAAAATAAAGGAGAAAGTGGTATTGACTGTGAAATCCGAAGGGTAAATGGCGCAGTTTCAGGAAGAAGGAACTTCAGAACGAGTTTTGTTAAGTCGTCTTGATCTTTTTTACCAGCTTCTCGTGCATGGAGGGTCCAATATTCAGTTGAATAGTCAAATAGTGGTGCTGCCTCAGAGTTACGAGAATGATCC